TAATGTGCATAGTTTTTGTTTCGGTGCTCGGCTGCGGCCGGGCATTTAATTAAAATTGTTTACTAAATATGCTTAAATTTGTGCTCTGCCATTTGCACCCATTTCGCATTTCCCATCCCCATTTCCCCCCAACCCATTTCCCAATCCCTTCCCTTGTTTCCGAATCAGGTCAATGCACAATTCAATTTACGCGCCTGTGTGCAAAATCAGTCTCGGCGAACTCTGCTTTGTAACCGGAGTGACAAATGTTAATTAAGGCATTCTGCCCCTCGACCTTTCCCCGCTCGCGGTTCAGAATCTGGCTTTGATGGGTTTTAATAAGGCTCAGAGCCTCAGCTTCGGTCCAGAACGTTAGTTATCCGCCCTTTGCCGGCTTGTTGAGTGCTCGCGAATGCATAAAAGTCAAGTCAGAGCTAAGCAAAATGCATTACAATGATAATGTTCCCCGGCTTACTGGCCGAGCTTGAGCTCTTGCACAGGGAGAAATTATCGATAAAATCCGTCCTTATCATGGGTGTCTTAAGTATAAGGAAAAAGTATTTTTAGACATCCCAACTCCGAACATCTCTCTTTCCGTAAAGATTACACAAGGCAATCAACAAGTGCGAGCAAGTCGTAAATCCAACGATTACCTAAAATATCGAACCATAGAAAATGTAATACCTATAAAAAATAAATTAAAGCAATGTAATCTAAAATCCCAAATATTAATTTTTATAACCCAATAATATTTTGAACACTACAGCTCCACGTGATAGTCTTTGTATCGTAATCTTAACTATTATAGTTAATAAATAAATTAATATTTTTAAACATCAGTAAAAGATTTATAAATTATTTCTCTTTTCACTATCACTCTTTCAAATTATCTGAAAATTCATAATATTTTTTTCGAAACTTATATTTAAAACCGGAAATTTATTTTATTAATTAATATATAATATGTATTTTATTTATAAAGCGATACAAAATAATATATTTTTTGAATGGTTTGTAAGGGTCTTTTGTTAAGAAATCAACGATAGGGATAACACGTTTTCGACATTAATATAGTTTTGATTCATTTTTTCGCCTAAAGTTACATTTTTAACAAAGTCAGAGTTGAATACTTGTTAATATTTTCCTTATCAGCTTACCACTCCCACCTCATTATTTTTCTCCGTGTTCCTCCGATGTTGCCGCTGTTACTGTTACTGTTGCCGCGCTACATAATTCAGCAGGACATGAACTGACAATAAAATTTAGTGCTGAGCTCGCATAATAAAGTCGGCCGTGGATGAGAGAAGAAGTGGTAAGGAGCTTGTCCAGCTCGGGATTCCGATGTTGCTGCTGGTGTTGCCCCTGTTGCTGTTGCTGTTGCTGCCCGGCAGCAACTAAAAAGGGCTAAGAACTAAAAGCAAAGTCATGCGGCCAGCAGTAATGAAAAAGATGAAAGAAGAAGAAGCTGCCAGGCTGTAAAACTGTAAGTTGGCATTAAGTTGCAAGCATAATGAAATTATTTCTCAGGCCGCTCCGACGACAACAGGATGATGGCAACGCATCGCTGATGTTGCTGCTGCTCATGTTGCTGTTGCTGGTGTTGTTGCTGCTGGTGTTGCTGCTGCTGCTGATGTTGCTGCTGCTACTGCTGCTTCAGCTGGCGAGGCGTCGGCACATAAATACTTCATGCTTAATTGTCCTTTTGGGTGTAATTTCAAACGCTGCCACGCACACAGCAGGCAACGCACGAGATGACAGCTCTTAAAGCCGAGCTAAAAGCCACCCCTCTTCCCCATTTTGCACCCCTTAACTGCCGCTTCTTTCGCTTTGTTGCCTTTGCGTCATTCTTGCGCTGTAATTTTAGCGCTTGACACAAAAGTTGCAATTTTCTCTCGCCCAAAGAGTGAGATAGAGTTTTGGCGGGGAAAAAAACTCTGCTGGAATGGGAGCTCCACTAGAGACTGACCAGAGGGGGGGGATAGAAAAAGAGAGTCTACCCCAACTTTTGCTCGTTAGCGTTGGCTTAACCCAAAAGCAAACTTGCAGCGAATGCAGCTGCAAATGCAACACTTGCTGCATTCGCAACGGTGGTCACACTCATGAGTCGCCGGCCCTCAGCAACTCACTCAACCGTGCTCTGGCCACACTCGAGCCCCATTCAAACATTTTACATTTGCACAACCATCCTGCGGTCTTCCAGATGGAAGGCCTTCGTTTGTCAATGGCATGAATACACCGAGGTCCTGAAAGAGCGGCCGGCAGACTTTTGTGAGTGTTTATTGAGAGCTCAATGAGTTGCGGGAAAAGTTAATGAAGAAAAAATGCAATAATCGGGTGGGCCAACAACCGATTGGAATGAATGGACATAAAGGAGGCCCGAAAGAAACTGAATAATATCATTTTGGACTAGTACAAGTTCATGTTAAAGTTATAAATAAACTCCGAAAATAATATTAATATTAAATATGAAATAATTGTTGGCCAAACACAAGACGAAAAATTCATTTAGTTGCCTTCTGCCAAAAACGCTTGAATAAATAGGTGCAATCTTGCATCACACATATTTCAGGGATATTTCTGCAAAAAGCAGATGGCTTAAGATAGCCGAGGTAACAAAATTTAACTATTTTCAATGGCAATCATGGCAAGCCATTTGTTGAGGCTCTGGGGCCTTGCCCAGCTGTGTTAATAAATTTAAATAAATATTTTCAATGCCCTCCGGTGTGCTATCCCAGGAATGTTATGAATGTTTGCACGCGTGAAACGTCAACAATCAACGCACCAACGAATAAATGAATGAATGCATTCGTGCAGCTGCTACTGCTCACATGCCCATTTTTGGCCAAAAACAAAGCAGAGCCAAAATCAGAAAGCCCTAAACCAAAACCGAAATCGAAACAACAGCCAGCAATTCGACGTGGCGAAACGATTCCCGGCATCGCAATGCTCACGAAAACCAAGCGAGAATGCTCATCAATTTTTAAATTTTATGGCACAAACAAAAGTGCCAAACAGGCAGCCAAAATCGCACATGCAGATGGGGGCGGGAACGCTGCCGTTGTCCGCGGGGGCGTGGCACTTATCCACACAATTCTCTTTGGGAAATTAAATGGTACGTGATTGAAAGTTTGCTCCCTCAAATGGCACATGACCAGCTTCATTTTGGGCTCCGGTTTCAGCTTTATCTTCGGTTTTTAGCTTCAACTTTGCCAGCAGTTCGTTGGCATCATCAGGGGGGCGTAGAAGGCGGAGGGGGCGTGGCACGTATTGGGGCGTGTGCGTGCGGCGATTTAGTGTTCCGTGGGGGAAGGCGCGTTTAATTATCCACCTTAAAGCAATTCCATTGTCCGAAAATCAACTCAGGTGAGTGGCTGACCAACTCCTTTTCCCCCATCCATAACGTGACTGTTACATTTCACCGCTTTCCCGATAAATGTAACACTGTAATATATAAATAACACAAAAAAAAAATATTTCGTTGAGAGCGATTTGGAATTCATTAATTTTTAAAAGCGTTCCCATGGTAATTATGGTAAACATTTAAAAAATATTTTTATTTATAATTAAAAAAACGGAACCATTTAGAAATATATATTTTGCTTAGACGAATCTTTCTTATAGACCCCTCTACTATGGATTTGAAAAAAATCGATATTTATAGATTGCATTGAATTTAAACTTTTCATATTATGACCGATTTCTCAATGTCATGTTAACTTGTGTCAGAAGCATTCAGTTCTTCAATGCCAAGTTAGTGTTTATCTGAACTAAAAGTCTTAGTTAGGGGCAATCTTCTAAAAAATGTCTCACTTTACAAAAGAAAACTTACTCTGTCTTTACAAAATTAACTTCACCTTCAAAAAACTGATTTGTCTTTGGAACAATTTAACATAAGGTTAACTCTTTCTGACAGATAACAAACTAGAACCTTAACATAACATTGAGAAATTGGCCCTTAGTCATAGAAACTTAGAAACAAAATTTGTATTTGATAATTTTAATTTTAATTTTGATTGATAAATTAGTATACATTTTTCTTTCAGTGCTTTCATTCGGCCCATAATTTGTGACTCATGAGTGTTGGACACACGTTAGCCGCATTTGCATGACATACCGGCCAAAGCGACCACGCCCCTTTCTGCCTGCATAATTGGCGCCAATCAACTGCATTAACATGAAAGGGACGGAGCAGATGACAGGGGAAAGAGACAGCCAGATGGGGAGTGAAAGGGACGGGGCGAGGCTTCTTTGGCTTCGTGCAACTTCCGCTGCCTTCTGGTTAGCTGCCTGTTTTCTTGTTATTTTATTTTTTTGCTGGGCCAAATAGAAATGAAATAAGTATCTGCATGGCCAGCCGGTCATTAGCGGCGACATTTCAGCCACGCCCCCTTTTTCCCACAGCCCGCTCACTCATTTCCGCCCATGGCGAAAGTTTTATGAGATTCATAACTTTTCCTTGGCTTCGGTTTATTCGCCCGTACTTTTTCCATCTTCTTTTTTTCACTTTTGCAGCCTGTGCAACGTCTCGTCTCATTTTTATTGCTTGCTTAATTATGGAGTCACTTTACATTGACACGCTCCGGAGTTTCTGCCACTGACCCGTGCGCACTCCATGAAAACGATGCAAAATAAATAGCAAATAATTCGGCGCAAGCCGCTTAAAAGTTGGCAAACTATGGCCGGCCAGCTACGAAAGTTCAACTTTGTCATAACCTCTTTTTGTGCGAAATACTTTAGCAGGGCCGCCCGCCCTTTTATGGTTAATTAGCAGCAGCTCAAATTTCACTTTAAATATTTACGGCGAAAAAGCGACCTTACAGTTGACAAGTTTGTCCTCTATACTGTGTATTTTTTTCGAATTACAAGTTTTGGGATGCAATAACATATTTTATTGGAGCTTTTGAAATTAATATATGGGTAGCATATTTTTGTATAGAAGAGTAAATTATTAATTAACATATTTTATTCCATAGCTTGAAGATCTAGATAAAACACCCAATGTTGATATTTCAATGACCTCATTAGTTATACTATATATGTAAGTATTTAAAGTTAATACTTAAAAGATTTATTTTAAAAGCTCCGTTTTAAAAACTTATCATTGCATGTCCTTGATCTTAATTACCTGCAATCAGTGCCTCATTATCAGTCGGCAATAAAAAAGGATTTTTATACAAATACATGAATTAAGGATAATGGAGGGCAATAATAACGAGTGAAAGCGAGTGAAAAAGTTGCTGTAATTTCTATGCTAATTGCTGGCAGTCACCTCAGTCAGCCTGGCTGTTTGGGTTCATCAACAGCAATTAAATAAACACAAAAATCCCCCGTGCAGCTTCGCAAGCGTTAAGTATACGCCGCGTTGGCCGCAAGTGGCGGCGGTTTTGGCTGAAAGCGCGAAAACTTGCAGCCTGCCAGCAGCTCAGCCCGATTCGGTCTCACTCTTTCTGCCTGACGGCAAAAACAGGCCACCCCGCTTCAACCTCCACGAGGCCCTAAGCAATCCCAGGTTTTAGGTTTAGGGGTTTTTTCACCACCCGTCGGGTGGCAATGGGAATTGGAATGAGAATCTGACGGCATCCAGCGTCAAGTCAAACGACACTTCCGTTCTGCAACAGACTCCCCTCTGCCCTTCGCCCTCTTCCCCGGAATTCCTGCACCCTTGGTGTCGCGTCCAGCATTTACAGTTAACCACATTTCCGGATTTTGCATCCCGGTGACTTCCGTCCTGGCATTTCGCTCACAGCATGCAACTGGCAAGGTCTAAACAAAATGGACAAAAAGGTGAGTGCGAAAAGAGGTTCCAGTTGTCATATGCACTGTTCGAGTTGGAGTTTTGTTTAAATAATTGAAGCAAAACACTTGCGGATTGCTCATACGGCGGCTTGGGTCGCCTGGCCTTCGTCAATTGGGGACTGGGCAAGAAGTCAGCTCACTAATGAATAAATCAGCATGCAGCTGGACACGGAACGAGGATGAACAAAGCGAAAGGTCCAGGTCCTGTCGGCACTAATGAAGTCCTGCAGAGAGAAAAATATGTAACCAGATTAGATATATATCTGTGCCTTACTTCAACTTATCTACTGTCTAAAGGCGCATAAAAAAGAACCTCTTAAAGTACTTTTTCTAAAGTATGGAATATATCACTCAAAGGAAAGCAGATATTTCACACCCAGAACTAATATATGATATGATATGATGACATAATTATCAAAGCAACTGATTTGATGTCTAAAGGTACGTTCTTGGTTCTGGAACATTTCACTCGTTGGGAACCAAATATTCCAGACTCACAACTAATATATGATATGATATGATAATATATTTATTAAAGCAACTGATTTACTGTAAAAGGTGCGCTTAAATACACTCTTATATTACTATTTCTAAATTTTGGAATGTTTCTCTCGTAAGGAAACAAATATTCCAGACTAAGAACAAATATATGATATCATCTGATGATATATTTAGTAACGCGAATTAAAAATATTAGAAGGGACCATTTGCACAGAAGTCGAAGTTTTGATTTAATGATAACTTGGTATATAAAGGTTTCACAAGAAGTATTCAGATCAAACAAAAATGTTATAAGAAAAAATTTTAAAAATCCATTTTTAAATAGGCCTTGGGCTAATTAAAGACCAATTCACATCATTTTTTTCTCTGCATTGCTGTGGGCACGTGCGTTGTCATTCGGTTTGAAGCTGCAAACACACAAAACACGAAATCTCTTTGCCATTTCGGACAAATCAATTAGTTGGCAGGAGGCCAAGGAGATGGCAGTCATTGCAGGCATGGCAGGCATGGGAATCCTGGGCGGGCTCTTAATTATGCGCCAATGTTGCCATTGCAGTTGCCATGACAATCCAAACTTATTTAATGGCCACCGAGCGGATCGCACACGCACACACACCGCCAGTCAAGTGCCGGGTTACAAACTTTGCCCGTTGCAAGATCGAGCAAAAAAATCTCTATGCACATAAACAGTTTACAGTTGAAAAGTTAAAAGCATGCCAACACCTGCTCGCACACACACACACACACAGCCATTGAGATTTTCTCGGGGAAATTTGTGGCATTTACATGATTTGCCCTCACTCCATGGCACTCACACAAACACACACTTTCACCCTCAGAGACACTCTCAAATTTTGACAGTTAACAAATTTCGGTGCAAAAGTTTGGCACATGTTTGCCATTGACAGAGAATTATGCCCGGGCCAAAAGCAGGACATGTTTTCCCAGGAAAAAGCCTTCGGGGGATGGGCCGCAAAATTAAGTGAAGCATTCGTGCGTGCCCGACAAAGGTGAGAAACTGCAAACAGTCGGCGGCTGGCCCAGCAACTTTCCTCTGCAGCCAGATTTTCATCGCTCCGGCCTGTTTTCCTTCATTTTTTTGTTTCCGGCTGCTGCTGTTGACATTCCAGCTGCTAAGTAAATTAATTAAAAGCATTTTACCACTGCCAAGCCGGCTGCATTTACCTCACCGCCAATCCATTCGGCCACAAAAACTCAATGCTGCTATTTGGTGAAAATAACTCAACATGATTTTGGGAGTTATTAAAAGAACCAAAATCAAAGCATTTTGGTAATTATATCTGAATGTGGGTAACATTGGGTGTTGAGATGAGGAATGCTTTTATTTACTGATGTTTAGCACAATATGAAATGGAATCTGACAAACGTCGGGATTAATAAAAACAAGTTTTAGGACGTTGGAAAATTTATTTCTTACAAGAACAATTTTCTAATAAACTTTAGAAAGTTTAATGGATTCTTATTCAATCACAACGCTGCTTGAACCATCAACAGTAACATGATTTTTCTCTTTGTGGAGTAAAGGACTTATGACACTTGCTTGATTTTTGACAATCTGATAGGTATGTTTTAAGTAGTCATGGTAACTCATAGAAAAGAGTTGCTACAAGTTAACCTCTCAACATTTTTTAAATGTTTCTAATAAATCAAATTAAGGTTACCGTGACTTTCTATAATAAAATATAAAGTGTCACAAGGCTTCAATGATTTAGAACCCTCAAACTAACAGCATTTAAAAACTCAAAAGCCATAAAATCCATTGACAATATTCTGGAATATTTAATTGGCTCTTGATACTATCAGTTTATATTAAATTTATACCTTTAAAAGGGTTCCAGAGTGTGTTATTATATCTTTTTATTAAACCTACGAATGTTTCCAGAATAAAGAATGACATCTTCGAGAGCATCTTTAAGCATCCTTGTGACAATCCGCTAAGGATTTACGGTTTCGGCCACGTCAGTTGCTTAAAGGACACAGCTGTTGAGGACGTGGTCGTCGTTGGATAGTTATTGAACCCGTTTACAGGAAGACGGGGTAAGTGGAGTGGCTCAGAGTTGCCTGTTTCGAGGTTGCTTTTTGGCCGCACAACTGTGGCCATGTCGCAAATTGTCCACCGTTGTCACTGGCCAAGTCGAAGAAAGAGCCCAAAACGGTATTGTCTTTAAAATGTTGGGGTACATTAAGGATTCTAAGTCTCACTGAGGCACACATGCAAAATAAGGCAAAATCGGGGGAGTGGGGGATTCTGGAGCAGAGGAAATTAAGTGCTGACCATTTTTCGACATGGCATCCCCTTTATCCTTCGCATCCTCCTCCTCTCATGCATTCATTTCACTTTGCACTATTTTCGGATTAAGTCCTGCGCCTGTCATGTTGATTTGTACGTCTTTGTGTGAGTGGAAGGATGTGAGTGGGTGCCAGTGTGTGTGTGTGTGATTGTGTGTGTTTGGGCCACGTCTGCGGTTGCAGCGCTTTTGGCATTTTGCGTTGGTGTCGGAAAAGTTGAATGATGGCGTTTGCCTTCACTCAACCTTTCTCTTTTCAAGCTTTTCCCCCCTTTCACTCTGTGTTTGAGTGTGTGTGTGCGTTTGGGACCCAAATATTGTTAATCCCATTGATTTGTGTTAATGATTGTCATTGACACTGTTGACAGAACTGTTTGCGGAACCCATGTCCATGTGCCTCCCCCTCCCCTTGACCTCTGACCACCAGGTTCCTGGCCCACCATTTTGCTCCCTATTCGGTAGCCGTTTCCGGATCCGGTCCTGTGGTCACTGGTCTTTGGTCTATGGTCTATGGTCTACGGTCCCCGGTCGCTGGAAGCCAAATTTTATGAACGGCCACCGCAGCTGCCAGCTGAGGTGCTAAATTCAGTTTTGGCTTTGTTTAAATTTCCTGCTGCCCACTAAAGCTTGTACCCTCGCATTTCCCAAACACAGCAAGAAATTTGAGGTGGGTGCTAAAATAGATGTCCTGACAAACAGTTGGGAATTAACAGATCATGTTTAGATTTATTTGGAGGGTAATACAACATTCTTAACCGAATGAGACAAGAAAAATGTCATTTAAATCTATAAAATGCAAGAGTTTTATATTTTAAAGTATATTTTATAAAGTTAAACAAAAGAAATAGGTAATAAATAGGTAATAAACATTTATATAAATTAATAACTCACATGCATATTAAATACTGGCTATAAATACTTTAAATTTTAAAAGATATGTTAGGGGAAAGGTGAGTTTTTCCCTGTGCTTGGTAGCCCAAGGACAATTCTCGCCGGCTCACTTGAGCGGCTGCAACTTGGAAATCTCAAGTGGACGAAGTCCGGAACGTGTGATTGCCCCCTCAATCCCCTGCAGCCCCATATCTGCCTGCCTCTGTTTGCTTTGGTGCTTGGCTTGTATTGATATTTCACGAGAAATCAACACAACATACAAATAGTCAAGCACAGGCTTCCTCCGCCACCTACTTCCCCGACTTTCCCCGAGCCCACTCACCTTTGAGAGATTTCCAACTTTGTCACCATTTGCAGCGGAAATGAAAAATCAAATCGAAGAAAGGCACAGGAAATGTAGCTCTTCGCTTTTCACTTCAACTCTGCTGGGCGCGAGTGTGTGTGTGTTTTTGTGAGAGGGTGTGTGTGAGGGTGTTTGTACTGTTTAAATTTAGCCAATGTCTATAGAAGTGACTGCTGGAGAGCCTCTCCAATGTCTACTACAAAACTCTCTCCATCTGGATCTGTAAATGTATTTGTAAATGTCCTTGCCGCTACACGTGGCTCTTTATATGTGCTTGGCAGTACTAACACACATGTCAGTGTGCCGAACGTAATACCTATAGGTATATCCCACTCCAGTCCGGAGTCAAGCTTAGACATCAAATTGTGTTTCCATTCTTTTTACCAACCTTGTTTTTGATACTCTTGAAAGCTAAGAGAAAAATAAAATAAAAAAGCCTCTGAATTATTATCAATTCTAGTTTATCTATTAAATTATTTAAGAATACTACAATAAAACTTATTCAATTGGGAAGCACTTAATGATGAAGACCAGAATAGGTTGGCTTAAGACTTACTGCTGTTATCCCCTGTCTGAATCAAACTAAAAATCTACAAATCGTTATATTAAATCTGAGCCCTCATGATCCTAAGCTATCATTATCTGTGAAAGAATGAGTCTCTGCACTTTTGTATCTAACAATAGCTCCTTAACATTCAATGGGTTTCATTTTGTGAAGAGTAACCGAACTTCGATTGCGCCCAGTCAGCGTCATTCACTTGTTTTCTCTGGGCATTTGTCTGTGCTCGAGACGTTTTTATCGTCTTGGCCATAAGCCTAAACAAATACAAACAATTTTGCCTCACTGGAAAACAGAAAGAAAAACGGAAACAGTAGAGCCAACAAGCACTGAAGAAGCACTGGAAAACAAATTGTAAAAATCTCTAAAAAATATATATATAAACAGAAATCAGCAGCCCGAACCGGGGGGAAAAAAAACGACGGGAATAGAAAGAGCAAACGTTGTGAAAATAGAGGAAAATCAATTGATTTCAGCTCAGACAACGGCGCTGAACAAAAAACCCAGACCAAACCCAAACCCAAAAACTGTTGCTCTTGATTTATTGAAATCATTTACCGCAAATCAGACAATTCCCGCACAAACTGTACAACTAATTAAATGATGAATGCCAGCGACAAC